CCCCAAAACCCCAAAACCCCAAAACCCCAAAACCCCAGTATAAAAACATCTCAAAATTTGATGGAAAGATATTGACCTTAAATTAAATAGTTAACTTTTGATTTCTTTTATTATAAGTCTAGTCAACTAGTCTCTCACTTGAAAATATCATCATCATCATTTCCACCTTCATACTTTGAAAAGTTTTCTTCCATAACACCAAGGTTCTCAGCGATTCTGAAATCAACATCCGTTAGTTGTCTTAGTTATTCTAAGCTGGTACCTCTAGCTAGTTCTTTTAGGACTACTCCGTTTGGTGTAAATTCGAAAACTGCTTTGTCTGTAATAAGAGTTGAGACACATTTAGGTCCAGTAACTGGTAGATCTGTAGCTTTTCTAAACTTTTTGTCTCCGAATTTATCTGTCAATGCCATTAAGACGACAATTCTTTTAACTGAACTTACTAGATCCATGGCTCCTCCCATACCCTTAACAAGCTTGCCTGGAATGATCCAGTTTGCAAGATCTCCATTTGAACCTACTTGAAGTCCTCCGAGTATAGTCATATCAAGATGTCCTCCTCTGATAACACTGAAAGCCATTGATGAGGGAAGGATAACTCCTCCTTTTTTGATTGTGACTGTCTCTTTACCAGCATTGATAAGATCTGGATCTTCATGACCAACTTCTGGGTACTCTCCAATACCTAGAAGACCATTCTCAGCGTGGAAGTAGACATTCATTGCTGGATCAACGAAATTTGCAACAGTTGTGGGCATACCAATACCTAAGTTCACATACATATTTGGCTTGATTTCATTAGCAGCTCTTCTAGCAATGTTGATTCTCATCACTCTCTCTTCCTCAGTCTTAGCTGAGATTTGTGGCCCGCCTGGACTCTTTAAGGTGAGCTTCTCTATTCTCTTTTGCTCGTTAATACCCTTGACTACTCTATCAACAAAAATTCCTGGGCAGTGAATCTCGTCTGGTTTAAGTTCTCCGACTTCCACAATTTCGTCAGCTTCTGCAATGACAATCTTTCCAGCTGTTGCACAATCTGGGTTAAAGTTTCTTGCTGTTACATGGAACACCAAGTTACCATCTTTATCAGCTTTCCAGCATTTGACAAAAGAAAAATCTCCTGTTATTGCTTCTTCTAAGAGATATCTTTTGCCGTTGAATTCTCTGACTTCTCTTGGTTTGCTGTAACTCAAAACTTTTCCTCCAGGGCCGTATTTAGTGGGAATTTATCCAGTTTCTAGGAGGGTTCCTGCACCAGTTGGTGAATAGAAAGCAGGGATACCAGCACCACCAGCTCTAATCTTTTCAGCAAGATTTCCTTGAGGTGTAAGGTGAACTTCAACTTCTCCACTGAGATACTGTTACTCAAAAACTTTGTTCACTCCAATGTATGAAGCATGTACTGCTGCTACTTGATGCTTTCTTAAAAGCAAAGACAGACCGTAGTCATTTGTACCGCACTCATTTGATACTAGTGTAAGTTCCTTGACATCATGCTTAGCTATTGCCTTAATCAAATTTTCAGGGATACCGCAGAGACCGAAACCACCAGCCAAAATGGTAGATCCATCTTTAACATCATATGTAGCCTAAATTAAGATTAAGGCAAAAGTTCTTTACCTCTAAAGCGTTCTTCCAAACTTTCTTATCAATTGGGCCGGGGGTAGATGTTTGAGCAGCTTGTGCTGAGAATGCATAGCTTGATCTTTATAAAAGCTGTGCTTATGAAAAGAGAGTTCCTCTTCTAGCATTTAGTATGATTTATTTTAACATGAATCACTGATTTTCAAAGTTTAAAAGTTTTAATAATTATTAGATGACATAATGATTAGTTCGATTATATAGTTTTCGGATATTTTTAATTTACTACTCTATAGCAATATCCAATATACTAGTCAATTTATCCTTCTGGGGTTTTGGGGTTTTGGGGTTTTGGGGTTTTGGGGAGATCGG